GCTTTGGAGTTGTTGGATTTGGATACCTGTTTATTAAAGGACAAGTCCAAGACCATCGATCCTTACAATGATGCCTTGTACACCTACATCGATCAGATGTATCACGAGCTGTGCCGATTCCCTGACCTCAACAAGGACTGCAACTTACAGTTCGTCTACACGGCTATGCAAGGTGTTGGTCTTCCATTCGCTACCGGTTTGATGGACAAGTTTGGCTTCCCCAAGAAGTGTGTGTCGATCGTGGAAGCGCAGGCTCACCCTGATCCTGAGTTCTCCACTGTCGCCTTCCCCAACCCCGAAGAGAAGGGTGCACTCGACATGAGCAAGCAACAAGCAATAGATGAGGATGCCGATTATGTATTGGCAAATGATCCCGATGCTGATCGTTTTACTTCTTGCGAGAAGCAGAAGGACGGTTCATGGCATCAATTCACTGGTGATGAGCTTGGTACCATCTTTGGAGATTGGCAACTGTTGATGGCTCATCGTCGTGGTGTCGACCCGAAGAATTGTCTGGTCATCAATTCCACAGTATCGTCTAAGATGCTGAAGGCGTTATCTGATTACTACGGTGGAGTGTATGAGGATACTCTAACAGGTTTCAAATGGATGGCTAACAAGTCATTGGAGATGACCGCTGAACACTCCAATTTGGTACACTGTACGGCTTATGAGGAGGCACTAGGAAGTGCCCTCACGATGAGTGTCCCTGATAAGGATGGTATCAGTGCTTGCAGTGTCTGGTGTGAGATGGCTAACTATTGGCGTAAGGAGAAAGGTATTACTCTTCTTGAACGACTAAATGAACTCCGTAAGATGGTTGGTTTCTTCGCACAACACAACGGTTACTTCATCTGTGATGATCCTAAGGTTATGAAACAGATGTTTGATGAGTTCCGTAATGAGGGTAACTACAAGGCTGAGCTCGGGTCATCTAAGATAGCTGATGTTCGTGATGTTACTCTTGGCTATGATTCAAGGAGGAAGGATAAGAAGTCTACATTACCTATGACACCGGATGCTCAGATGATTACTCTCTACTTCGATGATCAAGCTACTGTTACTATCCGTGGATCTGGTACTGAACCCAAGGTGAAGTACTACTGTGAGGCTAACGATAAGGAGAGTATGGAGAAGGCTCAGGAGAAGCTCGAAGTCGTCGTTAGAAATGTCATCGACTACTTCCTCCAACCCAAGAAGTACAATTTGGGTTCTCGATAAGGCAATTGTTGATTCATCGTTCTGATTCCAGAGAACTCTGGGCTACGATCAAGCGGTGTTTCGACATAGGACCATTCATCAGGATCCATTCTTCTTCTAGATCCGAACTTAATATGCGATACATTGTATCGTAGAATTTTTCTGAGAATCATTGGTGTTGTTTTCAATAGTTATTCGTTTACCGCGGTCTCTTTTGAGAGCACTAACGACCTACATCGAACTTAGACCTCGTTGAGACCTCAGTGAGTTTCTGAGATCCGGGCTCGATGGGCAGTCCGATTGCATGGCAGAGCCGAGAGGAGGTGCTCTGAATGTGAAAACGGTTTTCTTATTCGGGTCTTCTCCCCAGGGAGAACTCTTCCAGGAAAATGGAGCAGGTATATCGCACTGAGGCTTCAACTCGATTCATTCGCGGGGTTTGCCATTGATGAGGAATAGGTTGAGTCTTGCGGTGGGCCATCAAGTTTGATTTGAAGACCAACTAGAGCTCAACACAATGCAATAGAGGATACATTCACCCTGAATCATTATGATCTAATCATAACAATGAGCTAGTGGTTGCCTTACTGTACATTTTATGGTAATTCTCGTAACGAACAGTGGAATGCGGGTCTGTGAGTAGATCAGAGTAGGATGCAATATGGTGGAGACTTCAAGACCAATTTCGACCGACTCGGCTAGAAAAAAAGGACGCTTTTCTCAAAGTTGGAATGACATTATCAAGGGGGATCTAACTCGAAACTGGCCTAAAGCGCCTCATACCGAATCCGCGCCGGACTAGCCGCTGTATAGGCCGTTGGTCAAAAACCTTCCTCTGCCTTCTTCCGGCGCCTCTTCCTCTCTTAGTCAACCTCAACCATTGTAAGATGTAAGATGTATTATGCATTAAGATGGTAGGTGGACACGTATTCTTGCTGATAAGAACGCTGCCGAGCTTATACACAGTGGTAGCTTTGCGGAGTAGAGGTCTTCGTCCCGATTTCGTCGATGTAGTGAATAATATTGATCACCACAACACAACTCACACAGAGTCGTTGAGGACACTTAGTCTTCAAACTTATCTTGTAATTATGAGTATAACACCACGGAGTAGCGCTAGCTTACGCTAAGATACTAGCTCCATATATACACAAAGGAAGACAATAACACAATCTCATCACATTCTCCCCACCGATGACTCGAATATGAGAATCAAATCTCAAAAACTCTAGTCACAGCAATGACTGCATCATAAGGATCCAACGTTATATTTTTAGAAGCTTGGATAAACCCACGTAAACCACCAAAACTCTTAAAATCATCACGAGTCATACCAAACTCACGACGAATATAAGATTGAACATCAACAATATACATAGGAGCAGATCTCGATAATAAAACGGCATGAATAAAACGTTCAATCTCAGTTATCCTTGATGAAGATTGTTCCTCGCTAGTAATCTCACCATCAATAGGAATATCTCTAGAATTCCTAGCAATACGAGAACCTTCATCTTCAACAAAATCCACTCTAAACTGAATATCATCAACGGGCAACACATGGTCTATATTAACTGGACCAATAAGTCTCGCCTTAGAATCAGCTTCATCCTTTAGATAAAGAGAACCATGGGAAGTAACCTCTTGAACTTGAAGTGGTTTGGACCATCGATACCCAAGACGTATATTAGTAAAGCGACGAACCAAAACTCTATCACCAACCTTGAATGACGGAGCATCCTTTCTTCCATCATCATAATGAGCCTTTTGCTTCAATCTCTCATCTAGCGTGACATCACGCATGAGCGCAAATCCTTCACGCATAATCTTCTTCAACTTCCCAGCATAGGATTCATAGTTAACAGACTCAAATTCTTGTGGTGAAGAGGTTGATCCACGATAGCCGGTTCAAATGGTAAGCGTGGTCGTCTCCCATGAATGAGTTCATACGGGCACAAAGATATATTAGGCAAAGTCCTAACGTTATGTGAGAAAGTAACGCTACTCAAAGCCAATTCCCAATCTTCTTCAGCACATAAACCTTCTCTAATAAGTATAACCAAATCATGTAATAACCCTTGATGACTCCTCTCATTGGCTCCATTCCCTTGTGGTCTATAGCTTGTAGAAAATGTAACCGATAACTTGAATAATTCATAAAAAGTTTTACTAATACCGGCTGTAAACTCACCTCCACGATCACTGTGTAACCTATATGGGACACCGTGAACTGCAATAAGACTCTTCCATAAAGCCAAAACCACAAGTTTGCTCTCTTTCAAGGGGAGAGGGCATGTTATCATATAATGGGAGAAATTACATAATATCACAAGTATATGCCTATTACCAAGGCGTGATACTGGCAAATCTGTAATAAGATCAATAGACGTGAACTGCCAAGGATATTGCAGAACATTCAATCTCATGTATCCATATGGGGCGGCCACTGCCTTCCGCCGCCAGCACGGAAGACATGAAGATACATACTTTTTAACCGATGTTGATAGACCCCACCAAAAATACTTAGTTTTAATAGCTTCATAAGTATTCCTTCGACCTGGATGGCCAGCAAGTTGACTGCCATGGAAAGCATACAATATACGTTGCTGCAAAGAAGCAGGTACAACAAGTCGCAGTTTATGTTCAGGAAGTCCAACATTTTTACCCTTAAAATATAGGAGATTGTCAACAAGGACAAAATACTTCTCCAACTTTTTACACTTCTTTCGTTGATTAGACGAAAGCCGAGAAACCCCAATAACATCATTCGACTCTCTCTGACGCAGGAAATCTATCAATATACCCCATCGATGATCTTGTTGCTGTAACATTCTAAATTCTTCCATTGACGGAGTGCCATCTTGAAAATTCACCATATCCATAGATGCTTCAACTGTTCTTCACAAACTGGTCCAGAGCCTAGCAAGACACTCTCAATTTGAGGAGTGAGATGCAAGGGCAGGATACACTCCAAATCAGGTCTTCTTATATGCAAAAACCGAGGACCACCCACTGAATACTCCACCACAGCATTCAAACGGCATAGAGTATCAGAACCAATTAATAAGTCAATCTCATTAGGTAATTTCGCCTGAAGGCATCGCACCGACATCAATGCTCTCGGAAGATCACCAACACCACTGGTAGATTCAGGGTGAAAAACCACCGGTAGCTTTACTGAAGTCGTTGCTTCATATGCTGTATGACCGAGGCCGATAAAAATTTCTTTAGATGATAATTGTTCAGCATCGTCCTCAGCTAACTCACCAGCAGATACCAATCTTTTAAAAACACCCATAGGAAGGAGCGACCGTGAAGCTCCTGTGTCCACACATGCGGTCAGTAAGATCTTACCAACTGACATCTTAAAACACGGCAAATATGAACTCGTACCATCAGATAAAGCAGTTACAGTAGGCCATACTTTAACCGTAGTAGATTTTATATCGTCACCAACCAAAGTTTTTTGACTTCCAATAAGAGCATTACCAGACTCAGGAACAGGAGGCACAGGTATAGAGCTGGGATTCACCACAGCGAGCTCCGGGGAAGTACTCGTCAAAATCGGCACATCATTGACCTGTTTCAAAGGACAATTAGCAGCTATATGCCCAAACTTTTGGCAATTATAGCACTTCCTACCCTGGTGGCTCTTCCGCCAGTTAAGTTTATCCTTGGAAGAACTTCTATCATCAGTGCCGCCATGTCGATATCGACAC